CTACATGTATTTAATTTTGATTGCATAATGATTCCTACACGAGCAGTCATTAGGATTTGAACTTGGGGCATTTAATACAGAAACACAATCTGCTTGTCTTCCAGGAGTAACTCCATTAGCTGGCAGACGCGGGAGCTGATTAGTAATGCTGGATGCTGTCCCGTTTGCCAGTTTGTGGCAAGCACACACAAAAATTTCTAACAAGGCTCTCACTACCAGACAGACTGAAGCCTTGTGCAAGTCTTACTGATTGCTTTGATCTATACAAACAGGAAGTACCTTGTCCAGTGATGAAAGTCACCACTTGGGCAGGAGACAGCTGCTGTTTACCAACATGCACACAGTTGCATTCATCTGTATTCAGACACTCAACTGTATTCTGTTTAGGGCACAATTGTAATGCTCTAGCCCAGTGCAATTACAATCTAAATAATTCTAGGATAAAGGCAGGGCAGCACCTCGGAGATTAACTCGCTAAGAAAGAGTGACCTGACAGCTTTTGTCCATGACAGCCTGCTTTGTCAAATGTATGATGCATGCAGTTGACTAGGTGAGTTTTTGCCTTTCTGAACAAGTTAAATGCTAAGGTGTGACCCTGTACTGCCTCCTGCCTGACTTTAGTGGTGCACTTCATGGACTCCCAACACCTGCCCTTTCTGCAAGCAGAGGAAGACCCTGGTGCAAGCCTACCTGGAGTGCACCAGGCTACAGCCCCTTCATTGCATCCACCAGAACTTCCTGTTGAGGTTCTGGCTCCACTACTCCCCACACTGTTTTGTTTACACACTCCCTATCTGCAGCCCCACCAAGACCCAGGACTTCTTGGTCAACCTCCTCCTGGCCCTGTTTAAGCTCACTGTCTATCTGACCAGAAAGGAGGCTCTGGCTAGAAGGGGATTGTGGGGCCACTTTCCTGTCCCTTGTCCATTCACGTCACTGGGCAAAGTTTCACGGGGCAGTGTTCACTGGCTCCTTGGACTTGTTCAAGGGCCTGTGGGCACTATCCGTGTGCTTTGCTTAGTCTCTCCCCTTGGTGCTCTCATTATGAACCTATGATCCTCACTCCTTCCTCTGTTTTTCTTTTATTCATCCCAAGAAATTCATAGACATTAGAGCTGGAAGGAACCTCGTAAGATCATCAGGTCCAGCCCCCTGCTCAAGGGGCAGGAAGTCAGCTAGGGTCAAAGGATCCCATAAAGATAAGCATCCAAATGTTTCTTAAAAGTGTCCAGAGTAGGTGCCTGCACCACCTCTGGGGCGAGTCTGTTCCAGGCCTTGGAGGCTCAGACAGTAAAGAAGTTCTTCCTTAAGTCCAGCCTAAAACGGTCTTGCAGGAATTTGTGACTGTAGGACCTTGTCATCCCCTGGAGTGCTCTGGTGAACAGGTGTTCCCTCAGATCCTGATGCACACCCCTTATGTACTTATGGGCTGCCACCACATCACCCCTAAGCCTGTGCTTCTCCAGGCTGAAAAGTCCCATAGCTCGCAGTCTCTCTTCATAAGGCTTGTTCTCTTACCCTCTTATCAATCAATTGTTATATCCCCCAGTGGCCTCCTTCTTAAGGAAGGCTTATAGTTTTACCTGGTGGGCCTAGGCCCACACTTCCCCAGTGGCGTAACAAATAAGCCTGCCTGACTTCAACAGCATGCTTCACAGCCTCCCCCAACACCTACCCTTTCTAGGAGCACAGGGAGACCCTAGTGCATGCCTACCTGGAGCGCACCATACTGCAGCCCCTTCACAACCTCATTCAGAACCTCTTGCTGAGTTTCTGGCTGCAAGGGAGGCTTGTAGTTTGCCTTGGGCTTAGGCCCAAGTTCCCTGGCACATCAAACAGGCCTGTCTGACTTTAGGCTAACACACCTAACTCCCTTACACTAGGATGCGAGACACCGCTTCAGATTCTCTGCTTAGAAACCTTCTGAGATGCCCTTGGGAAACAGATGTGATGCTGATTAAATGGCAGGGTCCAGTTTCTGGGAGGCTAACTTGAAGATCTCAAACACAGAACATAGAAAAAATAAATACGTCTGCTGCCCTGGGAGAGGCTAGAATGCATCTCTCTGGCCCAAAGTCTGGGCCCGATTCCTTGAGGGGAGCCCGAAGATGCCACTGCCACCGACCCCTGCCCAGAGTCCCAGGCATGCTCGTGTAAGAGCCCTGCGAGGAAGGGCAGCAGCCGGCCCAGTCCTTCAGTACCATAGCACTGCTCCCCCGGCCGGAGCTGGACAGCAGGGAGGCAGCCGCAGCCCACGAGCCAGCGTTCCCCCACCTCCCCTCCCGAGGACTCACCCACCAGCTCCTGCAAGGCTGCTGCTCGGAGACACCACCCGGCCAGGGCGCAGACTCGACTGGTCCTACTCCCGCTTCCTCCTCCGCTTTGCTTCCTGCAGAGGGAGCGGCCGGGATCACATGCTCCGCGCTGACACACCTGGGGCTACCCAGAGCCAGCCCAGCCCGCAGCGCCTCCGACGAGCCCCTGGGGCGAGCCGCCGGGCTGTCATCAGTCCTGTTGGGAGGAGCTGAGGGAGCCCCTTTCCGTCCCCTCCCTCACGGAGCGAAGCCCCTTCCGTCCCCTTTCGCTCGGGGATGCTGCGGCTGCTGGGAGCGCAGATCTCCTCCTCTCACCCCATCCCGGTAGCTGGGAGCCGTGGAAAACACTGGGAGGAGAAAACAGGCGGACGCCTTCTGGGCGGGGTTGAAAAGGGACAGGACAGAGCCGAGGGAGAGGGAACTTCTCCGGTTCTCCATCTCCATCACCTGGAAATGTACTGGGTCTGGGTTGGGTGGTTGTTGTGTTGAACTTCCGAGAAAGGAGAAAACTGCTCATTCTAGAGCCGTCTAGTTTAAAACCTGGGTAGACCAAGCCCTGGCTGAGATAAGGTAGCTGGGGATGGGTTGGACTAGATGAGCTCCTGAGGTCCCTTCCAACCGTCATTTTTCTATGATTTCTAAGTCAGTGCTTGATCTGGCCATACTTTTTAAATTCCTTTCTGGCTGTATGTGCCTTTCACAAACTGCAAAACAAACAAAAAAGTTTCCAGTTTATTAAGTAGGGTAGGGAATGATTTGCTCAGCAGAATGTGCAGCTGTAGTGTGGCTGATGTATTTGTAACAGGCTGTCCTCGGACTTACAACACAATTGGTTCCTGAAAACCACTCTTTAAGTCGAAATGTTGTAACTAGGAACCAATTTTCTCATAAGAAACAATATTATAAATGGGGGATTGGCTCCTGAAACAAGGCACCATATCCTATTTTCACCAAAAATACCCCAGAATGTTGTACTCGATCAATTATAGATGAGTAATATAGCTACATTAATGTATTTCTATTGTAAATAGCAATCATATTGATTTGGAAGGACTTCTTTGAGGTGACTTAACTGGACTTATTGAAAGGCTCTTGGCTGGACTTATTGAAGGGTTCTTGGCTGGAGTATTCTCAGGAGTCTTGGCTGCAGGTTTTTCTGGAGTCTTGTCTGCTTTCTTAAAGAAAGTGTCCAAGGAAGCTTGGACAGATGTTCTCTGGGGAGATGAGCGATGCAGTGAACTTGTTCGCTGGTGTGGCATCGCATCAGATCAGTCGTTGTAAAGTCGAAACTGACGTCATAAAGTTGAAATAGGGTGTCAATTTATAAATGCTGCAAATACAAAACGTTGTAACTCGAAATGTTGTAAGTTGAGGATTGCCTGTATTCTAACTTTTAGTGCCTGATTTTGTAACTCATACGTTCTTTTAATGTTATGGTTTTTGGTATGTAATTGTTAATGCAGTGTACTAAGTGCCCTTGTTAGGCAACTGCATTTGTAGGTGTCTAAATATCTCTGTAAATTTGCCCCAGATTCCTTGCCTAAAATTGCTTGCACCCTAAATAAATAGGTTATGTACACAGTGCTGTTTTCTGGGAGAGCAGTCAAAAGACCATTTTCTAACAACCACATTCATATGTACACCCATCTACTAAAAGCTGTAGGAATATAGATATAATCATCAAGTATGCTCAGAGTCTGAATGTACATAGGCCAAATAATTTACCATTTGCTAAAATAGGTCTAAAATACTTCCTGTAGATGTATTTTCTTCTGTAAAGAATTTATTGTACACAACTCTCAAAACCAAAAAAGTCAAATTGATTTTATATAACGTAAAATAAATGAAAAACCAGAAATTACGACATATGTCACCAAACCCTATTTTTTCTTTGAAAATATGCCTCTTTAGAGTTAATTTAGAGAATTCTTCCAGCCAAAAAGTGTACCTATTTATCACTTTAATAAAGATATTTTCTATTAATTTAGAACACCAGAGTAGAAAATTAATTTCCCTCTCACAAACTTAATGAAGAAATAAAGAAATTAATTTTCCACTGGTGTTAGAGGGGCAATCCACTCCTTCACATATTAAGGGCTCTTTTGGCTGGAGTCTTCTCAGGAGTCTTGGCTGCAGATTTTTCTGGAATCTTGTCTGCTTTCTTAAAGAAAGTGTCCTAGGAAGTTTGTTTGGTAGCATGGCGTTGCATCAGATCAAGTGTAAAGTTGAAACTTGACTTCAGAAAAGTTGAGACAGTGTGTCAGTTTATAAAGCTTGTAAGTGAAACGTTGTAACTCAAAACATTGGGACTGCCTGTAATCTGTATTTATTTACTAAATCCTGTGGTAGCAATTTGTGCATATGTGGAAGTGGGGATGGACTGAAGCAAATGAATAATACTATAGGAAATTACAGGCAGTCCTCGACTTACAATGTTTCGAATTACAATATTTCGCACTTACAGCGTTTATAAATTGACACCCTGTTTCAACTTTATGACATCAGTTTCGACTTTACAGTGCTTGATCCCATGTGACATCACACCAGCGAACAAGTTCGCTGTGACACCCATCTCCTTCCTTGGATACTTTCTTTAAGAAAGCAGACAAGGCTCCAGAAAAACCTGCAGCCAAGACTCCTGAGAAGTCTCCAGCCAAGAGCCCTTCAAAAAGTCCAGCAAAGTCACCTCAAAGAAGTCCTTCCAAATCAATATGATTGCTATTTATAATAGAAATACATTAATGTAGCTATATTACTCATCTATAATTGATCGAATACAACATTCTGGGGTATTTTTGGTGAAAATAGGGTATGGGGCCTTGGTTCAGGAACCAATCCCCCATTTATAACATTGTTTCTGATGAGAAAATTGGTTCCAAGTTGCAAAGTTTCGACTTAAGATGTAGTTTTCAGGAACCAATTGTGTCGTACGTCCGAGGACTGCCTGTATCTAGTAGCAGGCAAGGAAGACCATGAGCCATGTTGCAATGAAGACTGTTATTTCTTGTCCTGTACTCTACAGCCAAAGAGAATCAAAGATATTTCTGCTTCTGCAAGATGAGAATTGTTTAAAGGAATTATAACTCTCGTTAAACATTTTATATTATGGCATTCACATTTTTACAGTGGAAAGATACTTTGTGATTACTTTATCTACTTTTCTGAAGTTCTGCAGTCTCTGAGACTAATCATTTCTGTTGCTCTTTGCTGGACTCTTGGGCAGCAGAAATTAGCCCATATCTTTCTTGAAGTGTGGGGCCCAAGAGAGTACTCCAGGTGAAGTCTCGCTAGTGCTGAATAGAGCGAAAGAATCACTTTGCTTGACTTGCAGGTGAGAGCTCTGTTAATGCAACTTTGTATGTGCTTGGCTTCTTTTTTTTTTTCCAAAAAGAGCATACTGTTGTTTCATACCCAGTTTATACTTCACCAGGACCCCACCTTCTTTTCTGCAGAACTGAAATCCAATCTGTATTTGTGCATGTGATTGTTCTGTCCCAAGTGCAGGGCTGTACTTGTCATTACTGAATTTAATTTGATTAATTTTGAACCATTTTCCAGTTTACTGAGGTCATTCTGAATCCCAATCCTATGCTTCAGAGTGTCTGCAACTCCACCCAGTTTGGTGTCATTTACAAATTTGCTGCATACAAATTCACACTCAATCCCATCCTTCAAATCATTCATGAAGATGTTAAATGGTACCAGACCCAGGACAGACCTCTGGGGAATGTGAATTGATACCTCCCATTTAGACATCAAGCCGCTGATAACCATTCTTTGAGCACCTTGATCCAGCTAATTATATATCCACCTTATGGGATTTTAATCTAGACTACATTTGCTTTGCTTACTAATAGGACTGTCATGGCTGATGGTGTCAAAAGTCTGTTAAAGTTGAGGTATATCACATTCGCTGCTTTCTTCCCATCCACAAGTACTGTCACCTTGTTATAAAGGCAATCATGTTGGTCAAGTATGCCCTGCTCTTCGTGCATCCATTTTGGTTCTTCCTGATCACCTTGCTGTCCTGTAGGTGCTTAGAAATAATTTCTTTGATGACCTTTTTCCTAATCTTTCCAGATATCTAGGTTAGTTTGACTGGTCTGTAATTCCCAAGATCCTCCTTCCATTTCTTGAAAGAATACCATATTTGCTTTTTTTCCCCATGTGTCAAGCCATGGCCTCAAGCTTGGGGCCTTAGCCTGCCTAGCATAGGTGTTCATCTTAGCCTGCCACTTCTTCAGCTGACTTTTTAAGCTGAGCAAGCCCATGAGCAACACCCATCTGGGTCTAGCCCTCCACCCAGTCCCTGCCATTGGAGTGGCCAGCCAGGGTCAGCTAGCCCATCACTACTTCCCATATAAACTGGCTCAGAAGTGTCTGTGCAATGGGACTCAACAGCTATCCAGACTACCTTGCTGTTCCTTACAGTTTGTGCCTCTACCTGTTCTCTGTTTGATCTCTTAGTTACTTGACCCAGCTTGCCCTCTGATTTTGCACTCTGCCTGACCTTTCAGCTTTTCCCCAGACCCAGCTCCCTGCTTAACCTCTTGGCTACCCAGTCTGGCTCACCCTCTGACTCTGTGCTCTGCTTGACCCTCCAGCTCAGTGGGCCAGAATGGCCTAGCTCAGTGCTGCTCAATCTATCTTTTGCTGCACGTTCTATCCATCTTTCATGTCAAGATAGCTTAGAATCAAATAAAATGTCCAGATTGTTTCTCAGAAAAATAAGAGGAAAACCCAATTTAAACAAATTGAGGTCCCAGTCTGCTGGGTTGCTATGTTTTCTCCACTGAAATCAATATAATTTAGCCATCTCATACTGGCTTTACTCCATCAGTTGTTAAGAATATTTTTAGATAAAATGAAATTAATAGGGTATACTTTTTTCTTTTTTTGGAAATGCTCAGATTAGTCTATTGCATAAACATTGATATGAGTATTCAAAAATGTTAATCTGGAACTGGCAAAATAATTTTGATGATTTGGAACAGTGGTGTCAAAAATAGGGTATGCGGGCTCGATCCAGGCCTTATCCTGGCCCTGGTGCTGCCTCGGGGTCTGAGTTGACCCATGTGATGTGGGCTGTGCTGGGTTGGCTCTGCATACAGGGCCCAGGATGTGTGCCGTGTGCAGTGCCTGCTTCAGGATCCATGCTACACATGATGCCTGCCCTGGCTGGGCTGGGACTGCCCCTCTGTCACAGATGGTCCAGGACACATGCTGGACCCAGCAGACAAGATGCCTGCTACAAGGAGCACCCACACCAGCTGGTCTACAACCTGCACCACATGCAGCACAGTCCTGGACCAGCAGGGGTAGGGTGCTGCATTGGTGTAGATCCATGACCAGCTAGGGCAGGTGCTGCTTGTAGTGCAGGTTCTGGAGTGGGCATCCTGTGTGCTGGGTTCAGCATGGAGGGTAGGGTGGTCCATGGACCTAATCCAGTCTGTGGACTGGCCACACACTACTCATCCAGCCTGCAGGGACAGATGAGTTTGACACCCCTGGCTTAGAACAATGCACATCAAAAAATATACTCAGATATTAATGTCAGAATCTCCTTAATATTGTTATGAAAGTCAACTTCTGGCTTTTCTCAAAATAAAATCTGGAACCTTGGCTTAGTAGAAGGGTGACCATATACTAGCAGTTAGCTCTGTCATAGCAAGTATGCAAAGAATCATAGAAAGTGGAGATGCAA